AATAAGTTAAGAATAATAAATGCATAGATGATAAGGCCGGAAAAGTGTCCAGGGGTCACCAGGTCCAGGGTTTTGCACTGCACAGAACTCTTTCCATCGTTGTATAACTTTCTCTTATCTCTGCAAAAAAAGGCATTCGGTTGTAAATGTCCTTGTTTTAGTAGCAACATTTCATGCAGATAAATGCAAATGCATCATAAACCATATTTTTAAAAATGTGTCCTCAAAACCATGAATCAGAGGAAAACTGTAAAGCCACATCCTTACCATAACATTAAAGGCTATTTCACATCATGTAGGAGCTGTTACTTCTCTAAATGGCCTGGAGTTGTTTTTGAAGAAGCTCATTTACAAAAGAGTTTAATGTAGTTTGAGAATATGGGGCCAGGTGAGTGAGGAATAGGCATTAGTAAAAAACAGTTTACTATCTCAATATGTACATGTACACTGTGCATATTTTTACATAGACATTTTTGCTACTATTGGGTAGCAAGAATGAAGCACTACAGAAAGATTTTGTATGCAATGTGGGTTCACAGCTCAGAGATTGGAGAGGCTATTGGGATCTGGGTGGGAACTAAAATGGACGTATTAGAGAACACAGAGTAGATACAAAAATAAATTATAAGGGAATGAAGGTAGGAGCAAATGTGAGTGAAAAAGGAAAGAATCATGGAGGTTTTTTTTAATTACTGGCAAGATTTTGTATAAGTCTCTTAGTATACAGTTTACCTAAGAGGTTCTCTAATTCTCCATGTAGAAAAGGTTCATTTCCCCCCTTTTAGACATAATGTAAAAGAGTCAGAGATATCTCAAAGTCTTCTCGGAACTCTCAATACTTCACAAGAATGAGAAACCATATGCTGAAGGAGAAATATTAATAGAAAATGCTGTCTTTCAGATGCTCACTGAATCAGTTGAAGACAGTTGACGCATCTGTAGTAAACTGTGTCTGAATCTTAGCTCATTAACCACTGCTGTATTATGTATGCTGATTCCAACTCCTAATATGACACATCAATAAACCAGATCAGAAAAGGTGTCATTTTGATTTTAATGTATCCAATTGTATTTTTAGATGTTCCTCTACTTAGAAGTGTTTGTGTTATTTCCTGATTTTACAAGCTGTGGAAGAGTGGGTATGGTATTGATTTGAAGGGGAAACCACCGCTTTCCTATAACCTTTTCAAAGATTTTGTTCTGATTATGTTGTAAGAACAATAAATTGCTCCTCCTTGATAATATTTCAGCCCTCTCTAAGCCATTGTCCAGTACCCCCTCCACTACTTAAGTGTAACCCAGCCACAAATATGTATATACCACCATTCATTCCAGTTCCTCAATTATGTGTGAAAGCAGAGGAAGAGAGAAAAATGTTTCTATAAAGTATTCTTCGTGTAGGATGTTTCTTACAAGCAGATATGGGAACCACCATGTACTTTTATAAGAATTCTTGCATGGAACTGAGCTGCTCATCAGTCAGATCATCGGTCTCTCTGCCCACCACAAGTTATTTAGTGTGCTGTAAAATGTCAGGCTACCATAGCAAGTGTATCGTCACCCACTGGCACCAACTCAGTTCAAGTATTAGAAACTACATTTTGAACGCTCACTGCAACCAGGTAGTATGCTCATTGCTGAAGATAAAAGGTGAACCATACCCAGCATGGGCCTCAAAAAAGGCCTCATGGGCGGGGGTGAACACTTACGGAGTACCTACTTTTTACTAGTCATCGTTAGGTTCATTACATACTATCTTGTTCAATCCATAAAACTGGCCTCAGACATTTTTCAAAGAAAATAAGAAACTTGTCCAAGACCACACAGCTAATAAAAAGCTGTTACAGAATTCAAACCAAGGTCTGTCTGTTCCAATCTGTGTTCATGTCTTTCCTTTGTTCACTAATTCTTTCTTTATTCATTTAACCCACTATATACCAGTATAAGAGCTGCCTCAGTTTATGGGAAAATTCTCAGTTTAATAGGAAAAATTGAACGGCATTCAAGCCATGAAAATATCGTGCAGAATGTTATCTACATAGAATGTCCTAAGTGCAATGGAACATAGAACAGGGACTTTGTCTAGGGAAGGTCATAATTCTTTTACCTAGTGGTTAAACAGACAAACTAAAGTTTTAATTCCTGCCCAGGCACCATGGCAGTGACCTTGCACATTCAAGTATTTCCAGTTAAGCAACGCCAGCCTTTCTTAAACCTACCCAGACTGGGGCATATTTCCCTAAAACTGAGGTTTGCTGGATATAGCCATTTAAACCACTCTCCATTTATTGTCTGTCAGGCTTAGATTATGGCTACTACTCCTATAGTCCTCAATGTCAACAGATCCCTTTTTTGGAGACTCTGACATTGACCTAATCATAACCATGGCCAGAGACTTCAGTGAAATTAGAAAGGTGTCCTCTCCTTCCTTTCCCTCCTCTCCCTCACCTCTCCTAATTTCATCTTAATTGCTTGAATCAAGTAGTTCAGCAGATCCTTAGGTAAATTAAACTACTAGCATCATGCCAAACTATGCAGAATATACCCATCTCATAAATATATAAACGTATGTATATGTACCTGTTTATGTATATGATCATTGGTGTGTTGCATTAGCTTCAGATGGCTAGATACAAGGTATCCAAGTATCCCTAAGTGCTCTGTCCTGAATGTACTGTACCAATTTCACTGTCATCTTTATTGACTTTGTTTTCCTTCTTTTTCTGAGTTTCTCATATCCTATAGGCTCCAACTGGTCCTGTGAAGCATCACATTGTCTTACCACCATTAAGCTACAAGGTGGCTTTCTACCCTTTGGCAGAAAGATTAGATCCGCTGTCTGCTGTGATGTTGCAACTGGCTTTTCTGTTTTTCTCTCTCTTTTTCTCTCCCCTTTGTCTCTTTCATTTGCAGTTGTCCAATCCATATTATTCCGGAACTCTTCTAAGAGTAAGTGCAGTTTTGAAAGCTCAGACTGTGGGAGGCATTATTTATAGACCTCTGTGGTTTCAGGAAGAAGAAGAAACGCTTCCAAGCAGAGTTCTACTAGGAAGACTGCCCCCACCCTACTTTAGCCCAATACTATCTTCTGCAGGATATTTTCCTGTAATTCCTTATAAAAAGTTTCTTTTGCAAAAGTATATTTAAAAAAAGGAAAACAAAACACCCTGCCAGTTTCTACACTAACTCTTTCTTGCCCCACTGTATAAAGTTTATATACCTAATAACAGGTGATTATGAACTGGGCTTTTGGAAGCACACTGTATTAGGAAGTACGTTTGGTTTAGAGACCCACCTTCAAAGGCTTCAGTACACAAGGACTTATTATGTTAAAGAAACTCAGAGACCAACAGTGCAGGACTGGTCTGACTGCTCCACAGATTCAGGGAAGCTCTTTATTCTGTGTGTCCCACTCTGCATAGCCTCAATTCTCAAGGTCATCTCATGGTACAACCATGCCATCTACATTCTGAGGAGCAGAAAGGCCAAAGGACCACAAAGATAAATTAGCCTCCTGCACACAGCCTCCCCGGAAGTCCCACATAACACTTTGCCTTCTCATTGGCTGGACTCTGTCATACGGTCATTCCAGCTGCCAAGCAAGAAAGCTAGGATGAAGGATGTGGCCATCCCTTCAACAGCGGGATTGTCTAGCTAAAGAAGAAGAGAATGGATATTGCGTGGGTGGGTGCCTTACATATTATTCTCTTATCTATCATCTTTTCCAGCAGTGGCCTCTTTAGAATCATCAGGAGCTCTGTGCTAGAAGTTAAAGTATAGAAAGGAAAGGCACCTGAGTCAGTGTATCTAAGGAGTTTAAGTTTGAGAAGTAATTATAATTCTGGGCCCTGGTTAAAACTATGGTAAGATAAATTCTCTAGTGTACTAAGTAACTCAGTTCTTCTTATGCCACCCATGCCCAGAAAGGCAAAAAGAAACAAAATGAAGGAAAACAACCAATATGGTATGTAGTTTTGAACAACTTCCTATTTTTTTAAAATGTATATGACCAAAAAATGAAAAATCAATAAAAAATACAAATTAAAAAATAAAACAAAATGTATATGAATAAGTATTATGCTTTCAAATTTATTTGCACTTTTTTGTTTTACAGCAAAAGCAAAATGTATTAGGGAGAAAAGATAGCATAGAACTAATTTTAAAAATTCTTTACTTCTCCACAAAATCAAGCAAAATAATAGAATGTTGGTAATTGAATGAGAATATATGTCCTTGTGTGTTTGTTTTATATTGTTGCTGTAACAAATTGTCACAAACTCAGTGGCTTCAAACCATAAGAATTTATTATCTTACGTTCCTGAAGGCCAGAAGTGTGAAGTCAGTTTCACTGGGCAAAACTCAAGGTGCTGGCAGGCCTGTGTCCCTTCTGGAGGCTCTCTTCCCTCAGCTTTTCTGGTTTTTAGAGGCTCTCTTTACTCCTTGGCCCATGGTCCTTTATCACATAGCCAAATCTCCTTTCGTTTTCATTGTCGTATCCCCTCTCTCTCCGACTCTGACCCTCCGGCTTCCCTCTTAGCCACCGTGATTACATTGGGCCTCCCAGATAATCCAGAATAATCTCCCCATCTCAGAATCCCTAATTTAATCACATTTGCAAAGTCCCTTTTTCCATGGAAGGTAACATTCACAGGTTCCAGAGATGAGGACAGAGACATCTTTGGAAGGCCATTATTTACCCTGCCACAACTTGTAAAATAGTAAAGCATTTATGAAAACGGATGTAATACCTGATCTTAATAAGAAGATCGTGTCAGAGCCACACTGTCGCTGCTTTCATTTTCCCATGATCTAATTCAGAGTCAAAGTAAAGAAACTTCATGATCCTGATTTCAAGTATAACTATTCCCTTTGGCTGCTAATTAGAACTTTTAAGTTGCTCAGACTTAGTCCAGAATTCTCCTAAGAAAATTCCCTCATGCACCTAAGAAATATCATTCTTTTCTAACCGTCCTTTTTAATTTCTTTTTTTTTTTTTCCAGAAAAGCAAGACAATAACACAAGAATTGAAACTATAAAATCTCTTGTACAAAAACTCCCTCCACCAAATCGTGACACCATGAAAGTCCTCTTTGGACACCTAACTAAGTAAGTTGCAAAGTTTCTGGTTGTTCTGTCACAGTCTCATTTCCTAAATGAGCAATATTTAATTTCCAATCTCTAATACAAGAGTTTCCGAATGCATCGATCTCAGATTTCCCTCTCCAGCTGATCTACGTCTTCCTGCAGAAGCTGGGGAATGTACTAGAGGTAGGAAGGGGAACCTACAAAAGGAACTTTTAAAATACTTTCTTTTTTCTGGCTTTTCAACAAGTAGATGTTTGCTGATTGGTTGTCAGAACTGTAGCCAGAGCCCTGGGATGGGCTGGGTTTACTTTGTTATTTAGTATAATGGCAAGAGCCTGAAATGATTCAGACATGAGTTCAAAACCTAGCCTCACCACGTACCAAGAGTGATGACCACAAATAAGTTACTTAAACTCTCTGATATCCAATTCCTTCGTCTGTAAGACATTGATTCACATTGATAAGGTGCCATCCATGTAAACAGCTAAAAGAAGAGTATTTCTGGAAGAAAAAAAGACAGTGTAAAGACCCAGAGGCCGCACAGGGCTTGATGTATTTGCAAAGCAGAAAGCGGGCCAGGCGGGCTAGAGCCTAATGGACAAGGGGCATGGTGGTGGAGTTGAGGTCATAGATGTTGGACCAGTGTAAGATCACATAGGTTCTCGTGGGCCACAGTGAGAGAGTGGAATTCCATTCTAAATACAGTGAAGAGCCATAAAGAGTGCTAAATTGAGGGATATACAAGATCACCCTGGCTGACAGGTGGAGAATGATTTGCAAAAGTGAAAGCAGGGAAACCTATACGGAGGAGACCATAGTAGTCCAGGCAAGAAGTAATGGTGACTTCAGTGGAGGCCTTAAAGAGGTATTTTGATGATGGATCAGATTGTATTTGCTGATGGTTGGGGTGCAGTGGGGAAGGGAAAGGAGAAATTGAGTGTGCCTGTTAGGGTTTGGGTTTGGGCAAGTGGAGAAATGGTAGTGCGGCACAGATGGGTAAAACTGGAGGAGGAACGGGCTGAATAGGAAGAGCCGACTGGAGAACTTCATTCTGGACATGTTAAGTTTGAAATGACTGTTCCTCATTTGCCTTCTGTTAACACCTTCTTCAGATAATGCAAAGTGCAATACAAGTGATGAGGTTGTAGCTTTCACCATATGCATATAGTAATGTTGAAGCCTGACAGAGTTTCAAATAGATTGGGCTGTTTTGCTTTTGTGAGATTAAATCTCTTTAATCACCCATGCCTTAGGTTGAGTCATTCCTACAGCTTATTCAACTCATCCACTACATGATTTTTAATTGTAAATGTAATGTGCAGAATTGCACACACACAAAATTTAAGCAACTGTCGTGCATGTAAGTCAAATTTGCCTACTAGTCACTCTTAGCCTGCTGAGCAGAAGCAACTAACATTTTTGTATCTACCCTTCCAGACCTGTTCCTAAGGACATACATACCTCTGTGTGGTTGTTTATTGCATTAGAGTATATCATTCTGCACATATTGTTCTTCTACTGTTTTGCAACTCACGGACAGCTTTCCATTTCATGGCATAGTACTCCATGGTATGGATGGTCCATAATTCACTTCACCGGGCACTGCGTTAGGGAACATGTTTCAATCTAATTCATCGTATTTGCTTCTTACTTATTTTACTCCCACAGAGGAACCTATGTCAAAGTTCAGAACATCCCTTATTGTTAGAATGCCCCTTTTTGTCACCTCCACATTACTGGCTTCAGTGGGAAACCCAGTGTGGTTAAGTGAAAGGATCTTGGGCTTCAAAAAAATAAAGAGAGAAAGCTAGAGTCAAATTCTTGTTCTATACTTTATACTCCCTTCATGATCTCAAGCACATAAAATCAGATTAAATAATATCAACCGTATCTTGTGGTTACGAGAATTAAATGAGATAATGCATATAAAAAGCCTGGCACAAGGTAAGCATTCCTCAAATGTTAATTCTTTTCCCTTAGGATCCAGACCCACCATGAAAGGGGTTTCAAGTTACAAGTAAATACTGGAGTGCTTATCTCAGTAACTTTAACTGGACAAAGTCGTAAAACAAATGGAAAAGTGTACTCTTTAATGCTGTGCAATACCTAGTCTCAGAGATCTAGAGAAATATCCATTACTCAGTCTCAATTATTCCTTTTCTTTTTTCCAACTGAAAGAACAGCTATAAAATGAAGAAACTGAGAATCAGCTAAATCCTACTTTGAAAAAAACACACACAGATGAGAATCTATCCAATTAAAAACCTTCAAAGGATGAGAATCTTCCACCTTCATGCCAACAATCCCAGTATTAACAATTAGTGCCTGATCATGTTTCTTATATCTAAATTAATTTCCTAATTTTGTTAGAACTTTCAGTTGAGATGGAAATAGATGTTTTTAACTAAGATTTAAGATCAGATGATTATGTCACCTTCACAGCATTCACATGATAAGATTTTTCATTGCAGATGGAGAAAAAAGTGTTATTTGCTAGCCACCCGCCTTTCTTGAGTGGTGTGACCATATTCCACCCTGCAATGATTTATAAACGGGGTTTAATTATGCAGAAGTGTGTGCACATGATTATATCTTGTTAAGCATTTCTTGTTAAGTTTTTGATAAACAGCCAATCGTGGCATGTCATCAAAGCTTGAGAAGGCTAAATAAGAAGATTGTTTAACGAGAATTTAAATGTATTCATCTTTGAAAGAATCATTAGAATGTTTTCCTTAGTCTTGATGCATTTGGTAGTTCTTCAGAAAATCTACCATCAACACTTGTATGTAGTGTTTATTCCAAATTGCTGCAAATATATATATATTTTGAAGTTTGTTTAGTGAGGGTCAGGGAATGTAGTGAAGTGCCAAAAATTCCACTTGACCTGCGTTGTACTCTGTAGCCAACAGAATAGAAGTCCATTTTTGCAAAGCTCTGAGTTAAACATTCCCTTGAAAGCAGAGCAACTACCAGCTGAGAAAGCTTAATACAGCACAGTTGGGCTAGAAGGTGGATGCAAGTGCTGTCCACAAAAGCCAGAATTTTTAAAGGATTGTGATTATATTAAGCATAAGATTACACAATAGCTGCACAGACTGAATAGTCTCAGAGTCCAGAGTCCTCATTCTCGATCAAACTCAAGGTGAAGTATGTGCTTCTGCTATGATAGATTGAGACCAGGAATTCAGAATACACTATCATCTCAAAATGCCATCAGCCAGAAACCTTTATTAATAGGCACTTTCACCAATTGACATTACAGTGATAAGCACTGGAAGGTCCTGTGACAGCTCTGAATCATCATATAAATGGCAAGTTCTATCTCTGTTAAAATATAAGTGTCGAATGCATGTTCCTTCAGCCTGCTTCTTTGGAAAGGCAGGCAGGCAAAGTGAAGATGAAGTTAATGGGAAGGAAGACCTAGAAAGATAAGGGTTGCTTGCTGATGGGTAGCGGTTGGACGTTGAGAGCCAGGCAAAGAGGTTATATAAGAAATAGAGGACCATTGAGACTTTATCTGCTGGACATTTGCATGATGTGCTCTGTGTTTATGAAAGAGTATTCTGACAATAGAGTGCAGGGTGAACGAGATAGAAGGAGAAAAAAAACCTAAGAGGCCACATGGGAGTTGTAGTTGGTTTGGAGTGATGAACATAAAATGGAAAGCAATGGTCCAAATCCTGAGACTTTTCAAAGGAAAATTCCATACAATTTTTATTTCTCTCATTTCTTTATCCCCCTTATGCAGTCAGCCATGGGAATAAGTCTGCGGTTTCAGTGCTGAGTAATTGTAAAAATAGTTCCTCTGGTAGCAAGTTAAAAAGCAAAAGGAGATAGTGTTTAGAAGGGTGCACTTTTTTCTCTGTTTTGAAATGCAGACAGGGGAAAGAGGAAGATTAAGATGAGGGTATAGAAGACTAATGAAATAAAGTAAACCCCATTTTGTCAGGTGTGAATTGAATCAAGCCCTCTAGATCTGCTGGTGGGGATGTTCCAACCAGCATGGTATGAAGCCACATATGTAATATAGCTCAAGAATGAAAACCTTTCCAATCTTCATGCCTTTTGAGCCAATCATCTTAATTGCTAGGACCCTATCCTAAGTAATGCTGGGGGATGAGGCCACTTTATGCAGATAAAATTTTACTGTTTTCACTGGTAGAAACTTGGAAACAACCTAAGTGTTCAGTGATAGGGGAAGGTTTTATAGAACATGGTACATCATATCGGCTTCATAAAATGTGGTTCACAGCTAATTGTTTTCTTAATTAGGGAAATGCTTGTATTAAGTTAAATAAAGTCAGGGATACAATATTTTATATATTTAAGGAGAGTATAAATATGTGGGAAAGTTGTGCATCTAGAAAAGACTGTAAAGCTATTTGCTGAGATGTTAATATTTCTTAGAGTTGTTGAACAATGAAAGTTTTTTTTTTTAAATTAATTTATTTATTTATGGCTGTGTTGGGTCTTCGTTTCTGTGCGAGGGCTTTCTCTAGTTGTGGCAAGCGGGGGCCACTCTTCATCGCGGTGCGCGGGCCTCTCACTACCGCTGCCTCTCTTGTTCTCTGCGGAGCGCAGGCTCAGTAATTGTGGCTCACGGGCCCAGTTGCTCCGCGGCATGTGGGATCTTCCCGGAACAGGGCTCGAACCCGTGTCCCCTGCACTGGTAGGCAGATTCTCAACCACTGCGCCACCAGGGAAGCCCGAAAGTTTTTTTTTCTTTGTGTGTTTCTTTTTCTCTCCTAACAATGGGATAGAAAGAGATATTGAGGTTAAGAGAACCGGTAAAGAGAACAGGCTTTGGAGTTAAGCAGAATTGAATGTGAGCCTTGGCCCTGCCACTTACTGGGCATGTAACTTAGAACTGACCTAGCTCTAAGCTTCCTTCTTCTCATCTGCAAAACAGGGATCATAATAGGACCTATTTCTGTGGTGAGGAGTAAAGGAATTATCCTTTTAAGGAGTCTAGCACAATACCTAGCACATAGTTGGTTCTAGTTAAGCATCAGACATCAGCA